CCTGGAGTTTACCTGGAGTTTACCTGGAGAGAGTTCCGGGGGTCAACGCCCCCGCGGCCCGGTCTGTGACCAGGCCTCCTGGTGGATCAGAGCCTGATCAACCAGGCTGTTGCTGCTGGCTACACGCAAACCAACGTACGAGCCACAGCCCGGCTGATCCGGAACTGACTTTAGGTGCTTGTCCAGTGCCAGCTTGAAGACTGCCAGGGGTCTGTTGGTAATCCCCCTTATGTGTGCTGGGAGGCAGTTGAACAATCTCGGGCCCCTGACACTTATTGTATGGTCTCTTAACGTGCTAGTGACACCCCTGCTTTTCATTGGGGGATGGTGCATCGTCTGCCAAGTCTTTTGCTTTCGTAGGTAGTGAGTGATTTTCGTGAGCAAGTTCGGTACTAGTCACCTCTTGGATTTTCCAGGTGTATATAATCATGTAATCTCTCCCTCCTGCGTTCCAGGGAATTACAGGTTTAGGAACCTCAAGCGCTCCCAATAATTGAGGTGTTTTATCTCCGTTTTGGCGTGCGTGAAAGTTCTTGTACATTTTCTAGGGTCGGCAATTTTCACCTGCCTTTTGAAAGGTGCTGTTAGTGTGCAGCAATATTCAGGCCTTAGATAGAACAAGTGCCTGAAGAGTGTCATCAGGGGCTTGGCTCCTCCTCGTTTTGAAGAGTTATCATATCATTCCTGTCATTTTTCTAGCAGATGCGATTGATACATGTTATGGTCCTTGAAGGTGAATCCCCCGAATGATACCCCCGGGTTTTTGACTTTGTGTTTCGCTCAATTTTGTGCCAAAATTTTTTTTACTCTGATGAAGTTTTTAATTTCCTCATTTTTCCCATATCTGAGTAATTGAAATTTCTCATCGTTAAACCCTTCATTTTGTTTTTTTTTTGCACCCCACTGAAAGTTTTTGGTTGATGTCCTCTGGGTTTTGCATGTTGCATGGAAACACTGTCATGCAGATTCGGGTGTCTCTGAAAAGGAAGACACGGTGCTGTGGCTGACTCCTTGTCTATTTCGGATATGAGGTGGGGAAAAAAGATGGGACGAGTACTGTGCCTTGGGGAAACGACTTTTCACCGAGCTGCCTCGGATTTTACCTGTTGACGATACTCTCTGTTTCTTTTATGGGGAAATTTAGATCCATCGACCGATTTTTTTCCTTTTTATTCCTTTGCACCTTTTTGTGCGCTATTACGCCATGGTCAATTTGTCAAAGGTTTTTGAAAGTCGAATATTACCTCATTCTTTTTTGTCTTCTAGTAAATTGGCCCTTGCGTAGTGACCCAAATTTGAGACAGACAGGAGCGCCCTTTTTCAAAAACCCATGTTCCCTTTGGGGTTTTGTGTAACTGAGGGGTTTCTAGATGGGTGGTGATTTTCTTCTTAGGACCCTTTCAAAGTTTTTTATGATAGGGGATGTTAGTGCTTTTGGTCGTATTCTTTGCTGTTGCTTTACTGCCCCCCTTTGTGGAGTGGGGCTATGTCTGTTGTTTTTAGTAAGGGTGGGACACCCCATGTCCATCTCCCTCTCCATAGGGTGGAAAAAGGGTCGTGATAGGGGCTTTTGCAGTTCTTATGAAAACAGAGTTCCAAGTCTGGCCCTGGGCAGATGCATGGGGATGTCATTTATCGCCTGTTGAATCATTTGGGGGTCAGGTAACATCGGAAGGTTTTTTAATCAAAATTTGTGGCTCTCTCTAAAAAAAAATTTTTGATCTTCGACTCCAGCCCGGTTAGCGGCTGCTAAAAAATAGTCCCTATTGGGCTTTGGGAGCTCACTCATTTCCCTTTCTGTATCTTTTAGGGCCCACTTGTTTAAGTAGGGGCCAATACTGGACGTTTTTCTCGTTTTTGATTTGGGATAGGAAAGAAATACTTTTTGGGTTTCTTTCGATTTCATTTTGGCTTTTTGTTCTTCCCCCGTTCCTGACTCCTAAAGGATTTTTTAGCTTAAATTCGAGCTTGATTTCTCTGACCTGTCTCCTACGCATTTTGATATTTGACCTCTTTTAGCCGCCTGTTATTCCCTTTTCCGCGCCTGTAAAGGAGCGCCTGTCTCTTTTTTTTTTACACCCTTCTCCTCCTTTTTCTTAAGGAAAAGCCTTGTGCATACATCGATCCCCACCGATTAATCTGTTCTGGCAAAAGTTGGGGTTGTGTGCTTATAATTTTCCCAGCTTTTATGGGTTAGGATTTGGGTTTACGGGGTCCCACTTTATGTTTTTTTTTATTGAAGTTGAATTTGGTGAAGCTCCCTCGTAAAAAATCTCTTATGTCGGTTTGGGGCTCTGCGCATACATGACTGAACCTCAATTAGTTGTGATCGATATATTTTTTTTGAATGGTGACATTTCTACAGATCATCTTTGTTAGTGAAGATGAGGTCTAGTGTATTCTCCAGCTATAGGCTTATATTTGGGGGTTTAAATTGAATTTTTGCAGAGTTTTAAAAGCCGTGTGATTTGGAGTTTTCTCGAGCGCCTCCGGGTGTTATAATGCAAAATATTATTTGCTATATTCCCTCCATTTAGGTCCCTTTAAGTTAAATCCCCCAGGAGAAAGTGTGGGGCGACATGGTCAATTTTTAACAGTTTTTCCTGAATTGTGGGATTTTCTCTGGAGGCTTTAGACTACACAATAAATAGGTTTTTGGTTCCGATTTTTATGCAAAAACTTCCCTTTCATCATTTGAGACTTTTAGCAGTTCGTGCAAAAAAGGACTCTGAATGTACAGGCCAACCCCCCCTTTTGCCTGTTCACTCTGTCACATCTTAAGGTTGTAAGCGGGGATCCATATTTCGTTGTCCAATGTCCTTTATGTGGTCTCAGGGAAACCCGCGAACTTTCCCTTTTGCCTCTTCCACAGTCCACGGATGAAAGGATTTTGTTGTTTGTTGCGGGTTTTTTGCCCCTGTATATTGCAAAGAAGAATGTTATCGACGGTGGTATTTTTTGGATGGGGGGGGGTTTTTTTTTCCGGCATTAGTATCTGTATCTTTTTGGTTTGGAGTGAGGCCATCGATTTGGGGTTCCACTCCAGGAATGACGGGTTTTGGTGTACAAATTTCTGCCCATTTCCTGCCAGTTTTTTTTTCCTTCCGGGCACTAAAAAACCTCTCCCTTTTGAGGGCTGTGGCTCCCCAGGTTTTCCCATGGCCTGGTGTTTTGTATTTTTTTTGTCCCCTTTAGATGGTATGCCTGGCAATTTAAGTTATAGCACAGTCTTTCCGTACTGAAGAGGTACACAGTTCAGGGTAAAAAAAGTTACGGGAAGGGAGTGTGCATTTTCTGTTGTCATAGGGGCATGGCATTTTCAGGTGGTCATATTTTGCACCCCCATCTGTTTTTCCCCAGATTTCCCATCCCAGCAGTACCGAGTGCATGAAATTGCCAGCTTGGTTTCCTTTTGCCTTGGGTTTTCTGTGACTGTATTCCCTGTTGGTTCAGTTTCCCTGTCTTACTTTATCCCCCCTGCACCAAAAATGGAGCTCCCACCATTGTTTTTGGGAATATATCCTCACTATTGCTAGTGGAGTCCTCTTTTTTGCCCTTTTCCCCGTATTTTTAGTTTTCAAAATTGGGTTTTTTTTATCTTTACACACTTGTTCCCTACTAGGTCCGTCCCCCATGAGGTCATTTATAGTATTCCTCCCGCTATAATTCCCACTCCGGAAGGTAACCATCGGTAATCCATCAATTAATAAGGGAGGTGTCGGTTTAGAGGGTCTTCTAAAGCCCCTTGATAGCTATGGAGAAAAGCTGTTGTCATTTCAAATAACCATATTATAATGGTACTTGTGGGGTGGGGTGATTTTTATTATTTTTTTTTTTCTTGAAATACCAGAGTATACTGGAAAATTTTATATAAACCCGTAGTTACCAGCGGGCGCAATATACACAACGAGAACAATTATTACTACAGAAAAACGTCCTTCCTCCAAAATTTTTTACACCAAATATAATATTAAAATAGCATTTTTGTGTTTGGAGATGAAAAAAAAAATAGAAAAGCTAGATACAGCGATGATAAACAAGGGTTGAGGCCGACCGTTCATCACTGTAGGGGCTGCCAGATAACCCGGCTCTTCAACCGCAATTTAAAATTTTTTATCAATCAAAACACATATTACTCGGGTAAAATTTCAAGTAGATCCTTCATGTTTAGCCCAAATCACGACTAGTATTTTTTAAATAAGTGACCCCACTGATCGATCAGATCGATGGTCCGAACCCTCGACTGGGCCGAACCCTTGATGGCCGAACCCTTTACTGGTTTCAAACGAATTTTTGACAAAAAAGCGACGTAAACGGGGTGGGGTTGGCGCCCTTTCAAACACAAACAATAAATATAAATCGGAACGACCGGGAAGCTGTCCAATATACAAG